TATCTAGCAATAATGACGTTGACGAGATCAGTTAAAAATACCGCAGAACCTGATGACAGCACTGTTATACAACAATGGTATATCGTCTGTAGGTAAGCATGCTGCGCCATGTTTAATGGAGACATTCCAATCTCTTTTCCAGAATAAAGTTATTCAGTCGGTAGAGAGTCAGACTTAAAGTTGAGAGTTCCTGGAATCAAGGCACGGTTGGGACTAATCACCTTCCTTCCTTGCGAGGTTGATAAATGAGCTTCACTCTATGCGAAATAAGGAGACAGGACAATTCTTATCACACAGGTACTTTAGACTCAGACTTTAAGATGAAGCACTCTTGACTGATGGCACGGCAGTGGAGATGAACCTTTATCATTAACTTCATGGAAAGCACGACACCAGAAATGGCTGAATCATGAAAATACTCAAATGATCGGTAATGCAACGGTCATACACTTTCCATCTTTTCCATTTTTCTTGTCCATACGCGCCATTTTGCTCACACAAGTCGTTTAATCACAATATATCGCTTCTCGTGGCTGTTCTGAACCATATGGGTGTGTCGACACATTGTCTGAGAGGCCTGATTCGAACATCGGAGGTGCGGGGTTCGTTTCCGTTCGAGATCAATTTTTGTTATTCACGAATTACATTGAGTAAGAAATTTACTGCATGCTGCATCAGACAGGAGTTGCACAGTCGGTGAATGGTTGAACGCAGAACCAATATGTCCTGAGCTCAGGTTTCAAAAAATACACCCTTCCTCATTCCGAGGTTTATAAGTGAATACCACTGCGAGGGAGGGAAACAATAAACTGCACGCTATGCTTGCCATTTGGCTATAAACTCTGGTTTAAAAAATGACAGATGATGATTCCAAAACAGTGATGACCATCTGACTCTACCTTATGAACAGAAAAGCGCCAAAATGGGCCATAAAAAAGAAGACAGACCGACATTCCAGCTTTGATCAATTTTTCACTTTCGCAACCATTCAGTAAATTGCGAATTTCAAACAGTCCTAACAAACCTTATACGTAAATTTGACTTTTTCGCTGCGGCTGTACCATTATTAATATCACCATTACAAAAACACTTTCAATTTTCAGTTTTATTTTTAATTATGCTAAAGGAAAAGATAGACGAACATGTTTAAGCAGTAAACTTTCAACGTAAACTTTAATTGACGAACTCTGTTGACAGCAAAACATGTCAGGCAAAATTTCCCCGTAATCTAGAAAGGGAAATTCAATTGAAGTTTATAGAACTTGATATCGCCTAAACAGAAATTTACTTCGCTATTATTTTAGATCATTAGCCATTCTAACCATTCAGAAATAGCACCTTTGCATCACACGTTCAACTTATAGGATGCAAACTTACCTAGTTATCCCATCCTCTAAAGGTTATGCCTTAATAACAGCCTGGTTCGTGGTTCCACTCGGATAGATGCTTAGCAGTTAGGATACCGATGAGGGCATAAATTTGCATCAGCTAAACTTGAATACCTAACGAGAAAGTGTTCATGTTTCGAGAGTCAAGCAAAGCGTTATTCAATGAGAAGATCTTTTCTTCCTTTGTCAAAGCGCACCCAGTGAATTATCTTTCAATGATATTTGTTTTTTCGGTACGCTCTCATATTTATAAAGGAGAACTAAACTCAATTTAGTCTGTCGTACATCCATCTCTTCAATAACATTTTATCATATCCTTCTCAAGAAAAGCGCACGTTTTCATCAACCGATAGTCGTGTATTAATTTTATTTTTCGTTCGCTTTTCTTATCGCCAAACTCCGCCGTTGGCGGGCCCAAGCCCAGATGAGAAAGAAGGAGGGTTGGAGACCGTGGCAAGTC